GGTGCCGCACTGTCTCACGTCACGTGTGCCCATAGAGCAAGAGCTGAATCTGCAAAGAAGTACGGGCATGCTGCCTAAGGGGAAAAAGGGGGTTCCAGTTTCGACCTCCAACTGCATACAGCCCTTCAGGGCCTCTGGCCTGGCAGGAGTGATCCCCTCCTAACTTACAACATGCCTCTTCATGGCAGGCAGACTTGACTGTGGAAGAGAGTATCCGAGGAATCAGGAATGTGCTTTCCACACTTTCAGAAGAAGGTAATGGCACTGGGAGGGATGCAGAATTCCTTGGTGAGAAGTTTGTCTCCTGATGCCATCAGGCTTACTACATTGCCTACGGAGTGACCAAACAACTACTTGAGTTACAAGAAAAAAAGATGTTCTTGGCTATTGTTTAGGCTCATCTCATGGCCCGACTCCTCAGGTGGCTGGCAGTCCATGGGAATAACCAAGATGTACAGCTGGCAGGAGGGATCTGGAGCAGGGGAGTTGCTCAGACACAGACCAGGCTACCCAGGTACTTGACTCCATGACACAGTGCCTGCAGAGAAGGACACCCTGGTTGGAGGACTGGCACACAGAGAGGAGGCGTACGCATTTTCACAAGGCCCCTCCCAAAGGGATGGGCCAGGGCATACTCATAAGGAGAATTCCTGGAGGTGAATACTAGACTGGGATCAGCAAGCTGCTCTGTGCATGCTCAGAGGTTCCTTCTATATGGTTTGTGTGTTTTGGTCAATAAAGAATACATTGCGAGGAAAATGGTCTGTGACTTTTGAACACATGAAGGAGGAACACTGGCTCACCAATAATTATGTGAAGGCTAAGTTTACAACCAAGTCAGAAGAATGAAGCCACTTTCTCTGCACCCAGCAGAAAAATGCACCTCTCTTCTTCCAGCCCCTCTTCTTTCAGAAGTATTAAAAATGACTCATGCTACCATGGGGATAGCCCTAAGCAAGCCACCTGAGTTTCAAGAAAAACGTCCTTGCCCAAAAAGATGGCAATCCCTGGATCTATTTAATGAAAATGGCTGAGTAGACAGCAGATCTCTATATGCACATTTTGGTTTGTTTGTGATACTTATATACCACTATATACAATAAAATTCCTAAACCCATTTAGAGAACATGAGTAAAGCATTAATACTTTTAACAAAGGAAGAACTGATGGCAGTAAGACAAACCACACGACTAAACATGTGATTTGTTAAGCCATCTTGAGAGCTTCCTAAATTGAGAGGCAGGATAAAAACAACCTAAACTAATTAACCTAAGCATATAAACATTTTACATCAAATATGGAATTGAAGCAATTGCTACACCAACTGTTCTAAGGCCTTCAGCAATTAATCAGCTAAGGCCTTAATTGAAGATTTAAAAGCGACATGATTGATTGGCGGCATAGCTGGCAATAGACACATACTCAGCACTCCTAAAAACTTGTGCAAGCAGGCTTCACAGGTAATTCTATCTTTGTATTGATGATTTTTTCTTTTGCTAAGAAACAGTGCAATCTACAGTGCCTGTAACCTTCTTAACTCAATGGATTACCAACATCCTATGCATATGAAGGGCAGAAGGAAAGTTTTCCTCTGCAGTTCTCTCACCCTGGAGTTAAGACAACTGGTTTTGACTGTGTTGCTCTTAGATGCAAGAAGAAGTGGCACCTCTTTCTCTCCCTTCCCCATCCACAAAATCTCGTCCCCAAGCTTGTTCTTGGAACTGCAGTAGGCACAGTTTATTGCCTGCCAGGTGTAAGGGTAGAGGGAAGGTGCTTGCAACTCAAATAATTGAATATTTGCAATCATATCATAGAATTTTCACAGTTGGAAGGGGCCTAGAAAGCCATCGGGTCCAAGCCCCTGCTGTTGCAGGTCACCAGTTTACACCTGCAGCTGTCAGAAGACTGTCCAGTTGTCCATAGCAGTGTTTTATTTACGTATTGAGATATGTAAGTGTAGAACCCTAAATGGCATAGCTCAAACACAGATAGCCTACATCAATACAAGCTAAGTCTCAGGCTACAAGGTGAGCTCCTTTTCTGCTGGATGACTCTCAGGCTAGTTAAAGAAAAATCTTACCACCATTTACTGTATTTTTCGCTCTGTAAGACACACTTTTTCCCCCCTCAAAAGTAAGGGGAAATGTCTGTGCGTCTTATAGAGCGAAAGTGTGTGTGCCCGACGCCCAGAACACTGCCGGCCCGCCTGCACCACATGGCACCACCTGGCCTGCACGTGCTCGGCACTCCCTGCTCCGCCCCCCCCCGACGCAGGTGAGAGCTGTGCCGCTCAGGGGGAGGCGTGCGGAGGAAGAGCAGCCGCGGGCTTTAACCTGCCAGCAGCACGGAGAGATGGACTGCTCACCCCCACCACCTGGGAAGACCTGCTGCTGCGCCGCCCAGAAGACCATCGCTGGCACACTGCCGGCCCCACGTGGCACCACCTGGCCGGCACGCGTTTGGCGTGCCCTGCTCCGCCCCCCTCCTCTGGCACAGGTGAGAGCTGTGCCACTCAGGGGGAGCGGTGCGGAGCTGTGGGCTTTAACCTGCCGGCCACACAGAGAGACGGAATGATCACCCCCACCGCCCGGGAAGACCTGCCGCCACCGCCGCTGGGGAGACCACCGCCGGCATGCTGCCAGCCCAGCTGCACCACACCTGGTGGCACGTGCTCAGCGCGCCCTGCTCCGCCCCCCTCCTCCGGCACAGGTGAGAGCTGTTAATCACAGGTCGGTGTGTGTTTTCAAATGGCAACCTGTCTTTTAATGAAGCCCATGGGGAAGTGATGGGGAATGTGCCTGTGATTATCAGGAAGCTTTCCATGGATCCCTCCTCTAAAAACTAGGTGCGTCTTATGGTCAGGTGCATCTTATAGAGCGAAAAATACGGTAAATTGATGGTGCAGGCTAAATTGGTAGCTTATATTAGAGCTGAGAAATTTCTCTCTGTTGAATCTAAGCTGGCCTTAGAAGAAAACAGGTTTCTGCCTTTCTCACACTCCCTTTCCCTTGACCTGCTGCACCTGGATTTATAGGTAAGGAGTTAAAATATGGGTCCTTTAGGGGGTTCACCTTCAGGAGGTTCCACAAGATGCATCAAGAATTTGAAGAACTTATAAAATCTTATATTCTTTATAATAAAGTTAAGAAAGTGCAAATGTACATATTGTTGTTGCAGTTTCTTTTCCTGGGTTTGGAGACAAATGTCTTTTTAATTCCAGCCAGGTGACATATAGAAATTGTTTGTCCCCAGTATCTGCAACAAGACATACTGGGTATAAACATGAGGAAAAAATTGAATTTAATTCAAGGAAAGGAAAATGTGGTGTTCATGCTGAGCATTATGCAGCACATTACTGGCAGAGAATTTTGAAAAGCAACATTTATTTATAGATTTTATCTACCATCCTTCAGTAAAAGTCCCAGGATGGTACAATGAAATAAAAGTACAGTATCAGGCAGCAATTTATTTATTTATTTATTTGGAACATTTATATGCCGCCCCATTCGCGAAAGCCTCGGGACGGCTTCCAAACCAAATTACATCAGATAAAACCCCATCTTAAAACACATTAACACATTTCTGGCTGCATATGTGCCTTTTCTAATACCTAGTACAGTATGCAAGCATACATATGTTAAGTAATATTGTCAAAATGATGCCCAACATGGATTCTATTCATTAATTTTAGAGGTTTTAAGAAGAAATCCTTGTACTTTAACAAAGCAGGAAATAGAACAGAACCCATGCAGAGCAAACCACATGTTGACTTGTGTGAGATGGATTAAGCAAGGATTTACTAAGCAATAGGGTACCTGGGAGGCAAGGCAGTGACAGAGCCTGCAGGAAAGAACTGACCTACACGAGTCTCTCAATCAGAATTGGGTGGCTAAATCACCACAGGCTAGAGACAGGCTGGGATGGTGGAGAAATACTCCACATAGAGTATATATGACAAAATGCTTTTGCTCAGGAAATCTCTTACAATGTAATCTCTAACCTTTGCATAATTGCCCTCACTGCTTGCAGTTGCCCTTGCTTTCTGAACTTGGAGGGGTGGCATTGAAACCACAACTAGAGAACAATGTTTGAACTCTGCGAGGCTAATTAGGCAAATCATGCCCCCCTCCCTGTGTCTGAATCCAACCTCTAGGTTATTGCCTCCTACCCATTCTTTAAGGTTTTTCTGCCAACACATCTTCCTATACTTCTTTTCCCATTTGTTTAACCTTATATAATCAGCTGCAACAGCCTGTATTTTTCATGTCTTGTTGTATGACCCAAATATTTTAGGTTTTTGTCTTTTAGGTGTTTATTATTGTTTTGATCTTCATCCAATTTAATACTTTGTCATCCTCTCAATAGTGAGACCCACTGAAATAAATGACTTTGAACGGATTGCTTCTCTCACACATTTCACGTACAGAAAACACGGCCAGGTAGCAAAGACTACTAACTGGCTTCTTCGTCCCCACCCTTTGATCATGGGAGCCCGGCCAATGTTAGCATTCAGGGTGGCCACGTCTGAAGACTGTTTAGCCACGATGATGGCCAACCTCTGGCAGGATAGGAACGAGAACTATGGCTAACCCTGGATCCAATCCGGAATCGCCACTACGTGTATTGAGAAATGTAGCTCGGGCCGTGAGAGCGGCAAGATAGTCTTGTGGCACCCTGAGGACTGACAGGTTTACTGGGACCTGCGTGTCACGTCCGCTTTCGCTACTGGCAGCAAACAGCCTCCGAACCCTGGCGGCTTTCCCGGCCAGCTTCCCTCCCCAGCGGATAAGAAAACCGCCTCCGCCGCCGTCAAAGGCCTCGCTCGCCCTCCTGCCCGGCGCATGCGCAAAGTGCCCTTCCCGCCGGAGGGTGGCGGAGGCAGCGGAGGTCAGGGGCACGTCGCGTCGTCCGCGAGACAGTGGCGCGCGCACGTGTGGCCAGCGGGCGGGCGCGCGCGAGGCGAAGGGCCTGCGGCAGGCAGGCCTGAGGTGAAAGGCGCGGGGCGGCTGCGCAGCGCTGCTCCGTTTTCGCCGCCGCCTTCCGTCTCCGTCTGCGTCTCCTCGCGTCTTCCCCCGCCTCCCCTCGAGGAAGGGGGCGGGAGAAGAAGGAACCCGAGACAAGCGTGAACGTGAGGTGTGTAAACCTGAAAGGCGAAGAAAGGGGGATGCGGAGAAAGTGGGGAGGGGCCAGAGTGGGCGAGGTGCCTTGGGAGGTGGTCTGGAGCAGGGGAGTTTCCCTGAAGGGGCGCTCAAGTCGGTGTGGTGTGGTCGGGAGGGGGGCCAAATGGAGGCTCGCTCCCTAGTTGTTATTGCGGGGCCGGGGTTCTGTTAGCCTTTGCAGAAAACACACCCAGGCGCATCCCTCGTTGCTTTTAGGGTGAGGGAGCGGGTCGCCGGCGTTACTTCACGGCTGCAAAACCAAAGAGTATTGGGGCCCCCAAAGGAAGCGAACAGACGTATTGTGATAGAAGCTTTCGAGGGCTGAGAGTCCATTTCATGGAACCATGGAAGGAGCCTCGAATACTGTCGGGTCCAGCCGCCTGCTGGCTGTCCAGTTTCGCCTTGAATGTTTGTCTCTAGTGTGGGAGAACCCACAACCTCCCATTTCATCGTATGTGCGAACAGTTACCCTGCTAGGGGTGTATGTATACGATATCTGTGTATAAATGCATGCAGTGTATGCACATAACTGTAGTTGTAGAATCGTAACAACAGTTATAGAATTGACACCCTCCTTTGTTTCTTTGCTTCCCTTTCAACCCCTCCCAGTTTCACCTATTCTGATAAAACAACCAAGATTCTTATGACATATTAAAAGACTTAATAGCTTTGTCATACAACTGCCACCAAATGCATTTTGAATTGCAGCCATTCTGTAGCACAGTCCTTTTCATTGTGCTAATAAATGTTCGTTCTCTTTTATCAAGGAAAATTGTTCTGTGCAGTTTATTCTGTATAGAACAAGAAAGAAGAGTTTGTGTTGAAAAAGCACAGGCTGTGTGTGAGGGAGGGAGGGAGGGGGAGTCTTGTAGCCCCTTAAAAGCTAATAGAATTATTGTGGCATCAACAATTGTGGGTCAGAATCTACTTTGTGAGATGGTTGAAGCAGGTGTATATGTGAATGTAAGACAGTGTTTCAGGCATTCGGGAAGAATGGAAGTGCTCTGTGACATTTCTATGGAATGTGTGTAGCGACCATTCACAGCAACAATAAATGGCAGTCCTGTGGGAGGCTGTGATTAACTGTGCTGGAGTTAACTGAGACTGATGTAGGGGGCTGTTAGAGTGCATTTGCAAACAGAGAAAAGAAAAGGAAAAAAGAAAAGGGGGGTTTAATGATATGTTTAAGCATTCTCTTTCCTTTAAACAGCCTGAATCAGTGTACAACAATCTCCCCCACACACATTTTTGAGTTACTTTGCAATGGATTTCATGTGTATGATATTAATTTAATTATTGTATTATGTTTGGGCAGGAGCTATAAGTTCTAACCCTCAATATAAACAGCAGCAGAAGGATATAAGTGTCAAATGATGAGTGTGTGGGATGTGTAAACATGGGTAAATGAACTGGGGATGAGTTATAAGGATGAGTTTGGCTGAGGTCTATATGTGAGGAATGGAGATAGAAAGTAGTATGTAAAAAACAGTGGAGAGAGTTGAGGAATCAGCTAAAAGGTGCCACCATGAAGAACATGGGCTTGGAATAGACAAAGTATTCTGATTGTTACATGGCATTTATATCTCGCCCTTTATCTTCTTGTGAGGCTAAGGCTTCATACACAGTTCCATTTTGTCCTCATGAGAACAATCCAGTGAGGTAGGTTGGGTTGAGAGTCTGTGACTGGCCCAGAATCACTGAGAGAGTTTCATGGCAGAGTGAGAACCTGGATCTCCTGGGTCTCCTCACTTTAACCACCACAACAAACTGTGGTATTAATCTTGTAATATTTGTATGATGTGTTTTTCAATATTAATCACCTTTACTGTAAACATGGGGAAATCTGGCATTGACTGAACTTTCATTTGAATGACTGCTGTTACACTGTTGTTTTTCACTGTTTCTTTTGCCTGTATCAGCTTGGCCTTTAGTGCTTTTTGATACCGAAAAGAAAATCTTCTGAATCTTGTTTGCTTGTGTGTTCTTCACGCAGCCATTTTATATCTGTCTAGATAAAGGACTGCATTATAAAATAATATATGAAGTCTTTTTAAATAAGCTTTTTTCCCCTAAACTGCTCCACAAAGATACGAGCAGAACCCTTGCATGTATCAGCATTTTTATTTATTATATTTAACTTTGGTTTGGTTTGCTTAACTTTTCAAAGAGAAAGTCAGTTTTACGTTTATGAAGATTTCCAAATAATGCTATTAAACAGAGCTCTACAAAAATAACATATGTTGTAATAGTAATTAAAAATAAAAATCTCAAATAACATGTCCAACTCCTATCTATATCCATAAATACATCATAAAATATTTCAGTATCCACTCTCTTTCCATTATATATAATCCCCATGAATTTTGGATATGGAAGATTAAGAATGTAAACATTTCTTCTTCCTCTCCTCCTTTTTTCTTCTTTAAAACCATTTTATTTGCAACAAAATGATACCGTTCAATTCTCTAGCCTTACTTTGCTATTTTCCAGAAGCTTTTATAGACAAGAGTGCAGGAGGGGTTCAAGCACCCATTGCTGATGTGCCCATATATCAATTCCAACAATGCTGAAGTGGAATTTACTGTTAATAGATGATAAATAGTATCTAATCTTCAATATGAAAATAGTAGGGATTTATTGTTCAAGCCTATTAGCTGACCTAAAGTATAGTCTCAACATAAAAGACTGTCTGTTTTCAAAAGATTCTGTTTTCAAAATTGGATTCTCCCATAAAGTTAATTTGGAATAAGAATAGGGATTAAACTGCAACTCACCAAGCCATTGCATTCTAAGCCTCTCCCTTTGCCAAGAATGCTGGTAGAGCCATTAGTTTGTTTTGACTATACCTAGACCCTAACACCATCCAGCCAGAAAGGGGCACAAAATAATTTGACTCCAAAACTGCCCATGGAGGAGTATTGAAAGAAAAATATATTTTCCATTCATTGTGCAGGTTAACAAATAAGCTTTATGATAACTAAGATGTGGAAAATGGCCCACACACAATAAACTTATATTATCCAAGGTAGGCCTTTTCTGTATTAATCTGTATAAGATTGCACCCTAAGAATATTAACTTAGGGTGCAGTCCTATACAGATGAATACAGAAATCTCCAAGCATTTAAATTAAGTTCAGCTTCCAAGTTAAGCAGTACGGCTATCAGCAATAAATCTATATTCAGTTTGAGCATTTGTGGAACTTCTCTCGACATTAGTATACTTTATCACTTCCAGGCAACAATGAAACTTGGGTAAATACCCTTGGGTAACTTGAAAGTACCTACAGCCATTAATTCAGATTTCATCCACTGTATCAAAGGCATCTTATTCCAGTCTACTAATAAACAAGAACAACTTACATGTGTATAAAGCCATTTTGTATTTAGCCAGCTTATTCAAACAGCCAAACATATCTATATACAAATATATTCGTATTGGATTAATTTCTGTGAAATGCCCAGAGAGCTTTGGTTATTGGGCAGTATAGAAATGAAATAAATAAAATAATGAAGACTTGCTTGGATTTCTTTTAAAGGCAGCAGTAGGTATTTACAGTAAATCAGGCATACTATATTGCATGTGTGCAGCAGAAGTATGATGTTACGAATGAGAAATGCAGAAAATAATTCTTAACATGAGAAGTTTTTTCCGTATTGGATGTTGGATGTTTAATAACTATACTTGCACCACAGTTGTGTTGACTATGGATAGTGCAGGTACTTTTTGCTAATTCATTATTTTTTCCATTTTAGGAGCTATGGATGAATCAGCTTGGTTTTTATGCCTGCATGTCACCCTCAGGAATTGAATTGTGAAAAGAACACAAAATGAAAATGCTACCAGGTGTGGGGGTGTTTGGGACTGGCAGCTCAGCTCGGGTGTTGGTACCTTTGCTGAGAGCAGAAGGCTTCTCCATTGAGGCACTCTGGGGGAAAACTGAAGAGGAAGCAAGGCAACTAGCTGAGGAAATGAACATTTCCTTCTACACAAGTCGGACAGATGATATCTTGCTGCATCAGGATGTTGATCTGGTTTGCATCAATATTCCCCCACCATTAACACGACAAATTGCTGTGAAAGCTCTAGGTACTATGTTCTTGTTGTTGAAAGTTCTGGCTTTTATTTAAAATTTACTTCCTCCTGGGTAGATCTCAACTGAGCTATGATGGCTGTTAATCATTGTCATAATACAATTGAATGCTTCATTTTGGAGCAATAGTTTTGTAAATATAGAATTGTGGAAAAATTAAGTCTGACTTGATGAGTACACTATATTACATAACGTAGATTAAAACATGTTCTGTCCTGCTGTAGGTAATTGTGTTGATACACTGTTTGGGGAGTATACTTAGACCCAATAAATACTTTGTTTTAGTCAGACATATGTGAAAAATAATAGACTGCAGATTTCTGTTCTTTTAATGGTTTATTTCATTTTAATATTTTTTTTCTGATGGTGGATTTGCCTAACCATGCATCACATAGTAAAAAAATCTGGGGGGAATAAAAGGAAGTAGAAATGATCCTTGACTTTTGTCAGACAGCCAAAGTTAATGCTACTACACCTGATTGCCCAGTGTGGTTTTTTTTGTAGGAGCTGATGGAAGGAGAAAGCTGTTTAAGATCCTGTAAGCAAGCTTTTGATGTTTGCTGGCTTATTATCTTATTCTTTCTTTGTTGTATAGCATAATTAAGGAAGTTCTCGTTAAATACTTGATGAAAGAGCACACAGTGTAATTGCTTGTCTATGTACATATTTCCCTTTTAATACTTGTGTGGCAAGGGTTCATCCCGTTTGGGAGCACAATGCAAAGGAAGCAGGAAGTTAAAAGTATCTGTTGAAGAGAGTTTACATTCTTTCTTAAGGACAGTTGGTACAGGATGGTTGGTTGCTGAAACAATGATTTTTAGAGAGGTAATAGGAGGAATCTTACTGTATTTGTGATTACATTAAATTTATATATTTCCAAAGCTCCCAAAGGACTGTAAAATTCGTCAGCACAGCCACTGGATATCTACAAAGTTCACATCATGACATTTAATCCTTGGGTTGGGGAGGGGAGGACAACTGTGGACATCGTGCAAAAGTGAAAAGATGAAGGTTTCATACAGTGCTGTCAGTCATCCCCGTTGTTAAGATTATAAATAGAAAAGTAGATTGACTGTTAAACTTATTGAAGAATTGCTAGAAATGGTTGATAATACATTGGCCTATTGCTGAACTAGTACAGCCAGAATGCTTAAGAGATGCAAAGTTGAACCAGCACCTGAGAACCAGAAGTATGCAAAGGCTGACAAGAAGACTATGGAGGGTTCAGATGAGCAATGGTTTTAGAATGTGCTACTTCTCATGAAATGTATTCAACCTTAGATTGAATGAAAAAATGAAAAGTGGAGAACCATGATCATATTTGTGTGCAGAGAAATTAAGGTGTGTGTCAGAATGCAAATGTAAAGATTTGCATTTAACGTAAGGATGGGGAAAGAACTTTAATAACACACTAAAATAATTTAACTGGGATAAAATGAAAGAAAGAAAGCGCAGAATCAGAAAGCAAACCCCAAATTTAGCCAGAAAACAGTTCCAGGCTGGATGATAACAGTGACCCCTCCTAAAAACATCTGCCTGAAACTGCGGTGCTGAACTAGGTTAAGAAGCAGTATACTGTGAGCTGGACTTTCCTGATTTTGGCTATAGTCATGAGAGAATAAGAACAAGTATAACTTATGTGGCCCAATGCAGTTCTACCAAGTTCCTCTGCAAAACTTGAAAAAGAGAGATTTATGCCATCTTGTTTGTGATATAAACGTGAGCTTGCACTGGCAGTCTTTGAAGAATTCGGTATGGAGGTGGGAAGCAAATAAAATAAGCTCAGATTATTTGTTATGAAGTGCCTTTTAAGGCAGTCATCTTCTCAGAGATGTATTTATGTTTTTATGAGGGTTACAGGCATGGCATAATGAATTTAAAATAGCACCTTAAGGTAAGGAACGTGATGTTAATATAAATTAGTTTTGCACATCCCAAGTAGTTACTTTCTCCTGTTGGGGTAGATGTTCCCTGTATTAAACAATTCAGTGCCAGATAACTTTGTCTCCTGTCCTGGAGTTTTCTGAAAGGCACCTAAACTTTCCTTAAGCCAAAAACTTTAGAAACTTCACAGCATTTCTCCTTCCTTGGTTTTTACATGAGGCAGCAGTGGACAGCCAGTAGTGGACAACAGATCCACTTCAGAGAGTTAAAGAACAATTGCTTGATTCCACCCTCTGCCCTTCTTACTCCTTCATAATAGCAAAAAAAAAAAAAAAAGCTTTCCTATGAGAGAAGAAGGAACAATATCAATTTGGTGGTACACTCCTAACTACAAGTACTATAGTACACTCCAACTACAAGTACCTAGATGGTTTCCCACCTTCTAGGTATTTTAGTATGGCATATTTAGAAGTGGAGTGGCTTTCTTCTGTACATGGTGATCACTGTGCCACCCCAGCTGAGAACTGCTCCTCATTTAACTACTGCTGTCACTTAGCCAGAGTAGAAGGGAAATGCTGTAGATTTCTCTTATGGTTTCATGTTCTAATTATTACACTTCTGAAGTAGCTTGCTGAGTTTTTTTTTTAAATCAAGGCTTTGATTGTGGCCCTTCTGTTGTTGGCTTGTAACTCCCATCATGCCTCACCATTGGCTGCACTGGCTACTGCTGAGGAATACTGAAGCCCTACGGTATAAGAAAGGCCACAAGTTGTCCACCTCCATTCTTAATATAACAGAAAGGGGAAAACTCTCTCTACTAGTAGCAAAATGTGTATATGTTTGGGACTGGTTTGGATTATCATATTTTGGCTTAATAAGGTCATTTGGGGAAATGCACAACTCCTTCATTGCCCCCATTCCAGGGGACTGAATCCCATGTCATGGTGGCAGTTCCTGGATGGTTTAACCAAGGAATGGGGATAAGTGGAGTGCTTGAGCTGCATGCTTATTTCCCTTTTAATTAGGCAAAGAATGCTCTATTAGTGAATCTCATAACATGCAATGCTGGAAACTCTGGATAATTTATGAATTATGAATAATTTAAACAATCCAGAATTAAACCAAAAACAAGCCATGGCCAACTATTCAGTTAATTCAGGGTTATTTAAACTATAATCAATGCGGATTTTCTCAGTTTGCACATAATGAAATAACAAGTAATTAAAATTAGAAATGATTATTGTGTGGCTCTCACACTTTATTTAATCCAGAAATTGCAAGGGCAAGCAATGTAGGAATTAACCATCATTATGTATTAATCTGCTCAATCTTTCATCATAATGGTAGTTTCCTATTTCATTTAAACTGGGAAACTGCAATTCATAGCTTTGGAATATGGGATATGAAACCCAATTTCATATCATGGCATAACATCTAGCTTGTATCAAAGTCAATAACCATTGTTTCCTGGTTGGGATGAAACCTTTTTGGTTCTGCTGTGAAGAAAGAACAGCATGTGTGACTTGCAAGTTATAAGAATCTGCCCAAGCTTTCCACACAGCTTGTAATCTTAAAAAACAAAACAGGACTCCACTTACAGTGCCTATTGGATCACCATGCAGAATATAAACTGCTCTGCTGTTCCCTAATTGTTTCTTCCCATTTTGAAAAAAAGTGTAATGTTTATTGCAAACATTCTGAAAAAGTAATAGCACAGCAGTGCCTGTTGTCATTTTCTGCATTTGTTTGAAAGAGAAAACATGTTACAATGTGAATAAAACGGTACTATTTAACCATACTGCATGGTTGTAAAGTAATATTTCAGTTAATAGAAAATTGGTTTTCCTAGGCTATTTTTGAAGACTTTGTTTACTGCTTGGTGTTCACTTAAAGGTTGCAATACCCAGCTGAAAGTTTTTAGCTATCTTGTTCTCTCAAGTAAATCCCAGACCCCTGTGTTTTCTTTTCTTTGGAAACACTCACTTTTATTTGACCCCTTATTACTTTTGCCTTTCTTAGCTTTTTAGGGTAGAGACATAGTCTGTAAAATATAACACACAGTGATGCTGTACGGAATATTGAGTATTATCAATCTGAATTAAAACATCCTTTGTTTGCAGGTATTGGAAAGAATGTAATATGTGAGAAAGCTGCTACCTCTGTGGATGCTTTCAGGATGGTCACAGCTGCCAGATATTATCCCAAACTCATGAGCATTGTAGGCAATGTCCTGCGGTTTCTACCAGCTTTCATCAAAATGAAGCAGTTAATAGAAGAGCACTATGTGGGCAATGTTCTGGTTTGTGATGTGCGAGTTTACTGGGGGAGCCTTCTCAGCCACAAGTACAACTGGATCTGCGATGAGCTGATGGGCGGGGGCGGGCTGCACTCTATGGGGACTTACATCATAGACCTCCTCACTCACCTGACAAGCCGAAAGGCGGAGAAAGTCCATGGGTTGCTGAAAACCTTTGTGAAACAAAACTCTGCCATCAGCGGCATTCGCCATGTCACCAGTGATGACTTTTGCTTTTTTCAGATGCTGATGGCAGGAGGCATCTGTAGTACAGTGACTTTGAACTTTAACATGCCCGGGTCATTTGTCCATGAGGTCATGATTGTTGGGTCATCTGGACGTCTTATAGCACGTGGCACAGATTTGTATGGCCAGAAGAACACTGCTCCCCAGGAAGAACTCCTGTTTGCAGACTCTTTGAATGTTCATGCAGGGCTTTTGGAAAAAGGATTGAAAGACATACCCCTTCTGTATCTTAAGGGGATGGTATACTTGGTGCAAGCATTACGTCATTCTTTCCAGGACCAGGAGGACCAGCGAACCTGGGATCCCAAGCCAGTTGCAATGGCGGCTTCTTTTGAAGATGGCCTCTATATGCAAAGTGTAGTAGATGCCATTAAAAAATCCAGCAGGTCTGGGGACTGGGAAACTGTAGAGGTAATGACTGAGGAGCCAGATGCCAATCAAAATCTTTGTGAGGCACTACAGAGAAATAACCTATAATAGAAACAGCCTTGGAAAGCAGAACAATTGGAAATGTATCCATCTTAACCATTTCTGCACATTTTGTTTCCTGTTGGGGTGGGCATGCCGGGAGGAAAAATAATGGGGAATTATACTTGTGGGTAAACCTCTAAGGACTATGCTTCTGGTTTTAAAGCTCAAAAGAGTTTTAAACATTGTGGGTATGCGTCTCATTAGCTAAACTTACTATTTTAAAGATAAACTTACTGAATTCTGTGTTACTCGTAAAACTTGAATTGCCCTTTGCACTCAGCAGTGGCTAAGACAAGAGTGGAGTCTCTGCCATTGTCTACCCTTTTGCAGGCAACTCATGGATGTTTTAAAACAATGCAGTGGCATGGAGTGCTAGAGAAAGTTACCACGTTCTGAGAGGAACTCAAGTTGTCTCTTAGAATTCTTAGTGTTAAAAAACCTGCCCAGAGTCTTAACATTCATTCTGTCGGGATTAAAGGGAAAAATTGTAGCCTTTCTAGTTCAGAGTTAAGCTAGGTGTTACACACCTGTATTTTTAATTCTCCCAGTTTGCATATAAAGTACTGGGGCTTATTGTAGCAGTCAAGAAGGATGTCAGGAGGGAAGGATGCTGAACTCTCCCATGCCTTAACCTGTGCAGTGAATTGCTCCAGATTTTTCATACTGTTACTGGAAACCAGTTGGGAATAGAGGAAAAGTACTTGAAACACTAGAACAATAGGAAGGGAGAGGATTCTGTTACCTGTCTCCTGCACTCTTTTTGTACTTGATTTACAAGGTAAAGATATGATTCCATCCATCTAACCTTGGTTTCAAATGTAGTCTATTAACCTGAAGCAAGCTGTTCTCTCTTCCTGTTTCTAGCATTGGATTGCTGTGTTGAGTTCACCTGCTCTCTGTACATGTTACTGCTTCTCTTCCCTGACAGATGTCTGAGACTGCAGATGTTTTGCACTTCTTTTTCTACATTCTCTCCTGTCATACTCAGTGCTTACAAACTCCACTACTTTGGATCAACTCTTATACATAAAATACAAGAATTCAGGATGCTGTTTTTAGCTGCTTGATAGCATAAAAGTCAAGCAAACATCCAATTTTACATATAAGAACATTTTAAACAAGTCATGTGAGCCATCTAGCTGTTTAATGAATTTGGTATGTAATTTGTCAAGGGATATGAAGCTGCATAGAAAATAAATAAATATCCCTTTGTCTTCAGTTGACTGCTAATAGAGTTAGTTTTTTCCTAGTTTTGCTTGCATGGGGCACAATCCTATGGACTCCTGACATTGCCTGGGAGACTATAAAAGTATCTGGACCCCCAGCTCTGAGTTTCTGTTGCCTTGAAGCTGGGACTCTGCCCCCCTCCCCCCTGGTGGCTTAAAAATTGCTTTGGCTGCTTCTTCAGAGTCAGAAATAGGCCTCAGGAAGAAAAGATATGCTGGGATGGAAAGGGAAAGAGACTTGGGCCCAGTGGCTTACACTTATTCAAGTGGTGCCACAGCTTCCTTCCCTCCCTCTCTACAGTGCTTCACCTAGATAACTGAAAATGGCTGCCTAAATGAAATTCAGGCTGTGAAGTGCAGGGCACTGGAAATTTCTGCCACAATGTCATGCACTGTACATGGAATGCATGTAAGCCTCTGAATTCAGAAGCTTACTTGCACTGAGTGTGGAGGGCATTTGATTGTGCCCTAAATAGATTTAATCTAAACACTGGAGAATGTTCCCTATCCCTTCCACTTCTGTTTTGCATTTGTGGGAATCTTGGTGATGCTTGTAGAGCAGATCTTCATGCACAGCTACCAGATCTCCGAGTTCCTTTTCACTGGGCTGAAACCAGGGGTCGGGGGGAGCCAACTTTTGTATGACACGTGGTTACTTGAATTTTAAAAATTGTTTTCCTGTTCTGTTTTCCTACTAGATTTTAATCCTATATATTAATATAAAGCATTAATAAGCAACCTTTCTTGTGGTCTTGTAAATGGAGGAGAAACTTGCTATGGAAAAGAAACTTAAGTACAGATAAAATGCAGAACCAGATCAGCTGCTTATTCTGCTCCTAGGAAAAAGACCCTATTTTTCCTCTTCTGAGCTTTTAAAGTTATTTTTAACCATAACAGCTGTATCCTTAATCCTAGCTACAGATGTTGGTTTTGTACAATTGTATGAACAATATACAACCATGTCTTCTACCAGAAAACCCTAAATCCTAGTATGTGGACTTTCAAACTTCTGTATGTGGAATATAGAAGAATTCACAATGCTTTGGCAATAACACTGAAAGGAAGGGGGCCATACTAAATGAGACAATGGGAATCTAATATGGGATTTTCTTTCTTTTTGAAAAAATACAAAAAAGCAGAAATCACCTAGCCATAGGGCTAAGGAAATTGGAGTGGAGGAAGGAATGAAACTCCCCTCTGCTGTGTTTCTACTCCCTATATGCCTCTTCTTCGACCAACCTGTTTATATGAAAAGGTACAGGGGAAATTAAAACAAAGCACCCAGTAGCTCAGTCTTGATCAAATCTCCCTTTTAGCAGAAATTATGGTGAAAATTCTGACCACAGACCTCTATATTTTCTAGGTCTTTCTAGTTCTTTTAGCTTTGTTAAAAAAATCATCATGAAGGAAAAGTACAGGGCACACGGTATCTGACCCTTCTGTATTAGAGGGTCCTGCTTCTAACATTCTTTGATTGCTGAGCCTTTAAAAACATCTTGTCTGTATATTTCCACAATTTCATTTATGGAGGCTATAAAGGATTATAAAATGCAGACTCTTGGTCAAATTTGTTCTTCAAGTTCCTTTACAAGTTTCTCCCAAGTGCACAGAAGTATTAACTTTTGTTTATAATTTATTTGATTGATTTCTATTCCACCCATTTATCAAGAAGGTTAAAAATGTTTACATTGTTTCCTCAGTGTTTAATGTAAACATCAAACTGCTGACCTGTTCAGTCATCAGCTCTATTCATTTATGCACTGTTTGGTCTGTTAGAGCTTGGCAGTTCCTCTGTACTTTAGTACTGATGATAGAGGAGCATGATCTTGTTTTTCCTGGAAAATGGGGTTCTTTTCTCCCTAGCAATTCAGTAGGAATTATGCAGTTGTGTTTACACTAGTTGATGGCACACTTGAAGAGCAATGCACAAATTGAGAGACGGTGGAATCAGCTAGTGAAGCTCCATTATATGATTGCATATATACTAATTTTCTTTCAGTGGCAGAGTAGTGCATTTCCTGCCTCCATGCTCTTTTTTATTTTCATTTTTATTGTTAAATTATTTGATGGTTGTGTATGCTTCCTTCTCATGCTGGAGTGAATATCTACACAGGTTTAAGTGGGGGAAAGAGCACCACTGCCCCCAGCACTTCATTCTTGCTCTGCCTTCCCAGAACAGCTGTTGCTTGGTTGGGCCTATGTTGTAAAATACAACAGTGCTACTCTATGATACAGAGAGGTCATAAAAACATAAGAACTTGGATTGGTTAATTGACAGTTTCCAAGGTCAACCCAGTAACCAAACCAAGGACAATTTTGGGGTTTACTTTGAGTTTCTGAGTTTGAATGTCAAGAAGCAATGCAGGAATGGAGCATGCCTGGATTATTATATCAGGATCTCATAACTGGTGACTCAGCACAATTCCACTTCACCAAGGTTGACTGCGGTCCTCCACCTTTGTGGGAGTCAGGGATGCAGGACCTCTGAGCAGTGGAAAAACGACAAATATCTCTAGGGACTCTGTTTGGGGACACCATGCTCCCACTACTAGCCAGCCTCACGTATTTTGTCTCTCAGTAGGTATGAAGTCTCTTGAGATATTTGTGGGTTTTCCACTTTTATGGAGGTTCTGTGTCCCTAACCCTTATGAATGTAGTGTTTGCTACTATCCATGGCTTCAAGCATCCACTCCAGGGCTTGGAACCTATTCCCACAGGATAAGGGGGTCCTGCTGTAACTGAAAGCAGAAATGGCAAGCATGTGGGAGGCAGCACTTGTCACTTTTCTTAAGCAAACCAGGATCTGCAAGTTGATATGAAAACCAAGGAGTGGTATCTCTGAATCTGGAGATTCCATTTAGTTGACCAAGATAGACCTACCATCTCTCTTTCATGAAGAGGATTCATAATGCCTCAGAGTCCCAACAATTGCATGTCCAGTCACTGGACAACACTCTGTCTGGATGCTTTGAGAACAATGAACTGTTTGTTGGGTTTTCTTTAGAACAACTGAGAAACTAGTTTTATTTTGCTGGAAGTATTTTGTGTCTACATGTGCCAGCATCTAATTTCCCTTTACAAGCAAATGAGATGAATGTGAACAACCGACACCTGAATATAATGAACAGTAGTTGAGAAATACACACAGGTGGAATAAAAGGAGCATCTAGGAAAACATCTGTTTCTGTGCTTCATACAAATTTGAGGAGCAAGCCAGTCCTACTGGTCTTACCTCTTCAGGGCACAGCTAAGAATCCTGTGACATGTTGTTACTTGTGCTGTGGTGACAGTGGTGGGACTAGGTGAGCTGCACATACACTGAGCATCTTGTCAATGTCCACCTGTGTAGACTTGTCGACCTCTGCTTTTGCTACAGCTCCTGAAGTGGTGCTTGTTGGACTTCTCAGTTCTTTGCCTTTGTCTTCTACAACTGTAATAGAGAATAAAGGGTCCAAATGAACCACTGTCCTGCCTATGTGTGAATATGGAAAGACAGTGCTAGATGACCAGTGGCTTTTTTACCTCTACTCTGCAGCTACCTATTTGCACTTGGCAGCTTCCGACTAAAAAGGGAGAAGGGCATGTTGACACCGTACCAAGAACAGTTAATCTCATTTCATTTCTTATGGCTTCTGCGAAGCACCAAGTCATGTCCAACCGATCATTCCAACCTTTGTCATGGTGTCGGATTTGACAAAAGGGCCATGTACACCTCCCCCTTTGTTCCCAACTTGTTACCTATGGGTGTTATTTTCAGTTCTAAGAGGCCTGTCTTGTTCTCGAGGGTTGAAGGAGCTTCACACTGGAGCAGGTCACATTCCTTGTCTGATGGATTGTTCATCTCCGGGTTGTCATAGTTGATATATTGGTATAAAGGGCGCAGACGCTGGGACTTTCCTAGAACGATGAAATAAACTTTGAAAGACATGTTGCTTCTAAGGTGCAGAGGCTTGTTGGTGAGATGAGGACTGTAATACCATTTTAAATTATACCTTAGTCAAAGGAAGAATGGTCTGCCCCACTGCATCTGGCTTCTCTTGCAGTTGCCTTAGCAAGTCACAAGACTTGCAAGTTCATTCTATTACTGCACCAGTAATGCTTGTAAATGCTTCTGCCTATGCCTATTGATGAAGAGCTAATCTCCTATACTTCCAATCTGGCCATGTTTAAATGTCTCTGAGTGAAAGCTATTGGTGGTTTAAGCACGGTTTCTAAATAAGTGCACACAGCAAGTGCTGTGATTTAGAGATGGCTTTTGGTTGCAGAGCTGAAGACTAGAAGTATCTACCCTGCATGACTGGCGCTTGAGCACTAGCATCATCTGTATCATTTGTATCTCATAATTGATTGCTATCTTCACTTCCAAATTCTCACTATAAGAAGGAGTATCATCCTTCCGTTTTCTGCTACCTATAAATTCCTACCCTAAATATTATAAAAATATTATTTGCGGTAGGATTAAAATACGGTATTAAAATACCTGACAACCTCTCCTCTCCTAAACCACTCCCTGCTGAGGGAGACCAAGCTTGTAGCTCTACCCGATTCCTTCTGTACTCACTGTCTAAACCTGCAGACTCTGGAGACAGGGCACCTCCTGGAATGGCAGATGGGGCCGCTGGGATATCAAGGCTGCTTTTTCTTTTCTTGGATTTCTTGGGCTGCTTTGGCATGAAGGAAACTTCAGCTTTGGGGCCCTCTGCTTCCTCTGTCCTGGGAGTGAGCTTCTTGAAGTCTGCATGCTGGAAAGTAAGTATGTCAGATTCAGTTCTGTGGGAACAGAAGCATATTAGATTCAATTTTGTGGGAAAGGAACAAGAAGGCTGAGGAGCACACAGGAAGAGGAGATGTGATTTACTGGAGATTTCTGGTCCCATGTGCTAGGTCCCAGCAGCCTCCTGGCTAGTTTTTCTCTTTCCCTCTGTCTTTGCCTGTCTGCAAGCATTCTGACTTGCAGGTAAAAAGCAAAATCTGCTGCAATTAAATCCCTCTGCAAGGAGCAGCTGGTAGCCTTTTCTAGACCTGCAGCTCTTAAGTTAAAATTTCACTGCCAGTGGAAGCAAAGCCACAATCTATCCAAGAGATTCTGCTGCCTGAGGACAAGATGACACCACACCCAATTCCTTGTGCAGAAGCCAACCAGACTGGCCGTTGAATCTTCAGCCATGGCAATGAGACCGTGTCCTCCACTGATGTCCATGGTCAGCAATCTAGCGTCAGGAGTATGGAATGTATGCTATGCAGCCTACAATTGCGTTCTTCAACACAGGGAGATGTTGGAGGAGAATCCAAAGGAAGGGCCGTGGGGCTGCTGCCACAGCTTCCTCATGCTGTAGCCCCACATCCCAGCAACCTTATTCTGCTTCCCTTGCATTGTTAGGCTGCTTGATTAGTAGTGGAACATGCAGCACTCTGATTATACTTTTATGAAGCTGTTTCACAGTGAAGTCAGATCATAGACTGGTGACTGTAAGGCAGTGGCTCTCCAATGACTTGGACAGAAGTTCCAGCTGATATCCTTAACAATTTTTTAACTTGAGATGTCAAGAACAAACTCTTTTCCTGTGTGCTCTACCTTTGTACTGTGGGATAGATACAACAATTGATTCATGATAACCTACTTTATTGTTCTTGCTTTAAAGCCATAGGTTGCCAGCCAGGCCTGGAGCACAGAAACTGATTTCAGATTCTTGAGTTCTGGAAACAGTTCTTGGTGCTTCTGAATTTCTTCCTCATACAGCTTCATGTGGAGGAGAATGCCTTTCCCATCTTCATGCCACTGTGGGAACACACAGATGGTTACTCAGTGAATGGAGCCAAAGTAAGAATACAGACCAGGTGTCACAATCATTACAGACTGAAAAGGTGCAGATTCTGTATTCAAACTGAGCCTGTCATGTTGGCCACTTCATGGAAGTTCTTCAGGGCAGAGTAATGCTCCCAGATTGTAACTAAGGGTGAGCTTGAAATTAAACATCCTGGGGTCCAGAAAAAGTTTTGGATAAGGCTGGCTAAGTTGCATCACTAGAGAGTTTCTGCTGTACAGTTTCTGCTTCCAAAGGAAGTGATTTCCCTTCTCCATCAAATAGCAGCTGTACATGCACACAAGACACATTTTCATCCAGTATGAGAGAGGAAAGATTAAACTCTACCGAGCATGCCAAATCAAACAAAACTCCAACCCATTTGAGAGACCACATTTTTATCAAAACATGTAGAGAGATAGTACAACGCAGGCTCTTTCTAACATCCTTTCACCACCTCTAGAGCAGGGGTGGGCAGAAAGTAGGTCCCCAGAAATTTCAAATTTCTACCCCCCACATTTCTGGGGACTGAAGTCGAAAACATTTGCCAATCTACCTTCTGCCAAACCCTATTGTAGGAATTGGTTAACTAGCAAAGGCAAAACATGGAGAAAGAAAAACATCATCATCATCATCATCATCATCATCATCATTATTAGAACATTTCTATGCCGCCCCTTGCCGAAGCCTCGGGGCAGCTTACAACACAATAAAATACAATATAAGATAACAATATAAAATTAAAATTAATAATATAAAATAAATAAAAAATATAAACGATATAAAAGAAGTTATAAAAGAAAAGTTATGAAAGAAAAGAAAAGAAAAGAAAAGAAAAGAAAAGAAAAGAAAAGAAAAGAAGTTGCCCTGGCCAGATAAATAAGTACATATTGTTAACAATTAAAATGACGTTTAAATAAAAAATAATTCCTAAATAATTGAGGAAAAATATCAGCTGCACAGAATATCTCTGGAATAAGTCTTTTTAAGGGCAAGGATTTGTTGAAGGAATTTATTGGGGTAGGGTGGGGGAAAGCAACTGATCAAATAGTTATAGCAGAAATAGTTCTTGTTTTGGGGCTACTTGTTGGGAAGTCATATCTTCGTTGGCTCCAACTTGCTGAATTGGAAATTCTGCAGGGGAAAGGGAAGGAGATACTGCCTTATGTAAATGGCAGTTGTATTGTTGAATACAGGAGAAGTGCCAAATGACTGGAGAAGGGCTACCATAATTCCCATTTTCAAAAAAGGGAAAAAAGATGAACCTGGGGACTACAGACCAGTTAGTCTGACATCAATCCCTGGAAAAATTATGATGTAAATTATTAATCAATCTGCAAGCACCTCAAAGAAAATGCAGTGATCAATAGAAGCTAACATGGATTTATCAAAACTAAATCCTGTCAGACTAATTCAATATAATTTTTGGACTGGATAACCTCTCAAATGAACAGTGGAAACACTGTGGACATAATCTACCTTGACTTAATCTACTTACCCCTGATCTAGACAGTGTCTGTGTCCATCTACTTTTTCTCAAGCAAAGCTTTTGACATAGCGCCCTTCAACATCCTGATAAGCAAACTAGCAAAAAGAAAAACTATCAGGTGGATTTAAAATTTGCTGCTAAATTGGACACAAAGAGTGCTTATCAATGGCACCTTCTCAACTGGAGAAAGGTAACTAGTGTTCAGTTCAGTTCTAGGCCCAGTGCTCTTCAACATCTTTATTAATGATTTAGATGTGGAAGTAAAAGAAACAATCAGATGTGCAGACAATACAAAACTGGGTGGAATAGTGCACGCCCTAGAAGACAGAATGAAGATTCAAGGCAATCTGGATAAGCTTGAATGCTGGGCTGAAAGCAACAGAATGAGATTCAATAGGGACATGTACTCCACCTAGGACCTCATTGAGACCAGATAAGAGAACTTGGCTCAGAATAAGTAAAAAGGAACAAGACCTTGGGGTTATTGGGGACAACAGGGTAAATATGAGCCAACAATGCAATGCAGTTGCAAAAAGGGCATATGCTATTTTTGGATGCATTCATATTACTTAATATTGGAAGTAATGTTAGTATTACTTCTAAATCATGAGAAGTAATAGTTCCGCAATACTCTTTTCTAATCAGACCTCATCTAGGTCATCTGGGTACCAAGATTTAAGAAAAATGCAGAAAAATTAAAAAGGGTCCAGAAGAGGACAACAAAAATGATCCAGTGTTTGGAACATTGCCCTGTGAGGAGAGACTGAGAGAACTGGGCATGTTCAGCCTTGAGAAGAGAAGACTGAGGGGAACATGATATCACTCTGTAAGTACCTCAAAGGCTGTCACAAAGAGGAAGAATAAAACCTCTTCTTGCTCATGCTAGACTGCAAGACATGGAATAATCGGCGAATGGGGTGGCATAGAAGCTTCCTAAATAAATAAATAATCAGTTCAAGTTGTGACAAACCAAATTCAGGCTAGCTATCAGGAAACATTTCCTCACTGTCAGAGCAATGTGACAGTGGAACCAATTGCCTGGAAAGGTGGTGGGCTGTCCCACATTAGGGACATTCAAAAAGAAACTGGACAGCCATCTGAGTGGGATGGTGTAAACTGGTGTCCTGCAACAGTGGGAGGTTGGACCCGATGGCCTTCTTGGCTGCTTCCAATTCTACCATTCTATGATTCAGACATGGTCCCCAGAACTACCACTTCATGTGCTGCTAACTGTAATTGTGTGTTTCCGGTTAGAGATGTGGTGAGGCAGGAGAGCTCACAGGCAATACTTTTGAAGGTTGCTTACTCCTGCTGATTTCTCTTTGAAGCCATCCCCATAGATGTTTTATGCTTTAATGTACAAATCCTTAAAAGTGATAGACTCACTTCTCACCTGACATTTTTGCAACAAGATCTCTTTCTGTTCCTTTAAGCTTCAAAAGCCAGGGGACAGTCTTAGTGACAGTAGGTTGGCTCCTCTAGATGATCGCACCTTCAACTCCCAGAAGCCCCTCTTAGCATGAGCAATGGTCAGGACTGTGGGATTCTGCAGATCCTTCTGCCTACCCCTGTTGCAGACAGTGTCGCATCCACACACGCCCCCGCCCCAAACCCGTTTATTTCTTTACCTCTAGTGACTTGATAGTTGGGTTGTCCAAAGCTGCCGCCAGCTGGAACAGGAAGTGGGAAGGTGTGGCCTTTCCTCCAGATTTTTTCTCACTGGCACTCTTTGCAGAACTAGCCATGGCCTGCAAAGGAGAAAAAAACAGAAATTACACAGCCAGGCCTTTACTTTTTTACAGGCTGGCAGGAGATAATATTTCCAATATAATAGTAAAACAGACTTCACTGGTAGGTCTGGAACCAATACCTTTTTATATGTGCTATCATCACTGATCCTGCTTTTTTGGTGTGTGCGTGTGCTTGGTGATGTTTTTAAAGAGGGAAACTGCAGAGAACAAAGGAAGCAAAGGAAACAAATATTATCTTTAATAGCTGTTTAGAAAAGGTACTTTGGTAGTTGTGAATATTTTCCACCCCTGCATTTTGCAGTTTTGTGTCTTTGCATATGGCAGTCATAAAGAGAAAAGGGGAAAGTAGGTATATTTAGAAAATCAAGAAACTGGTCTTATTTTGCAGAATGGCATTAATGTGACAGGTTGATCTGAAATGTGTGAAGCTTATGGTAAAAGTATATTATAGGGCTAGGTAATGTGGTGCCTTCTAGATGTATTGGATTGAAACACCTGTTGCTGCTCAGTTAAGCATGGATAGTGAGAGGGATTATGGAAATTATAATCCAAAACATCTGGAATGCATCAATTATCTACCCCAGGTACAATTCCTATTTGCCTGTTTGATTTCAAGGGCTAAGAAACAAATCCAAATCGCAAAGGCTTTTGGATAAGCGAGTACCAAATTACATTGTTTTGAGTGAAATGCTTCTTAATATGACTAAACTGAACTCTAAAGCTTATTTTAAAGACATGTTTCCATAATTGTTACTGTTTTTGGTATCAACAGCTCTTCCTGCACTTGACCATTTACTAATTAAAAAAACCTGCTCTTAAGTACAGTTCTCAACAAGGTTATGAAAGCATGTTAATATTCACATGTATCAAAGAACCAAATTCTATTGACACTTAGGGGCATGTTTATTTAGCTGTCATGAATTGTACCATTCCCTGCCTTTATAGTGTGTTCTGCATATCACACTATTACATCCTGCATTAACTGAAAAAAACCCAACATTCATACATCCAGACTATCATTTGATTACTATGTCTGTGAAGACTGATATTTGAACGTATGCACTATATTCTGTAGAAAGCACTACTTGTACTTCTAATACATTCACATGTGAAGTTTATTACACTATCGTGGTCTAAGACCACTGACTGAATTGATGGAAGAGGCAGGATTTGAATCTGAGCTTTCTGAACTGTAAATTCACCTGTTCGGCTGCTGTTGTATACATGCTTCCAATGGAAGCAAGTTCCACTGAATGCAGTAGGATCTACTTCTGGATCGATCTGTATAGGATTGTGCTGTTAGTTATTATGCTACACCATTCAGCCTTACGACTCCTTTGTACACTTATTGTGAATGCAAAAATGGTGGCCAACTTCTATTCAAGAAAGTAATTCATAATAAATGATCGGGGTCGTGTGATTACGTGGCATGCAGTGGGACTGGGGGATTAAGTATTCCTTAACCCTATACTAATTTCTGAAGCATTAGCCCAGTTATCTTACAAAAAGATCACTCAAAGATCCTGCAGTCTACTGGATGAAGTGCTTGGGAGCCTACGGGAATGGGATGATAGATAAAAATAATAAATAATAAATAAATAACACTTCTTGCAGCCCTTGATTTCAACAGCAGCCCTGTAGGCATGAAAGGCATACCTTAATAGATACGAGGTAGAGCTGTTCCCTTTTGTGCAGATCTACCTTAAAAATAACCAAAAGATGTTCTTGCTTTGCTTCACTAAGCCATTCCCATTGGGAGTTTTGTTGAGTAATCAGAAGTCATGAGAGGTTTGGAAAAATTCTTAAAAGCATGAAATTCTAAATCTGACTTTAAATTTCCAGTTGGCACACACCTCTAAAGGCATTAAGCAAGAGTCGGAGATGGTATTTCTATATTTAAAATATACAGAGGCGGTCCCCTAGCTATTGTTTTCTTTTCCTATCATGTATGTGTGTTATCTGCCTCAAAAGTGTTTCCACAAATAATTGAGGAAACAATGCACAGGGGTGCTCACACACAGAACAACTTGGGATCATAAGTACATTTACAGATCTTTTAAATATATTCATGCTCTTTGTGGGTGAAAGGGAAAAGGAATTATTTCCTAATGGGGATGTAAGGACCATGTTTTGATATCCAGCAATCCCCAATTTGAGCTTACTGAAGCCATTGTTCAAATCAAGTAGGACTTGAGTTGGGTAGATTTTGACTGATTTACTCCTTGGTTAAGCGAAGCATGTGTTCCCCACCAAGCCTATGGCAGACTGTGGAGTCTGAAGAACAGTTGAATTCTTGCAGGGAGTAGTCTGATGGTGGTGGTCAGTAGGCCCAGCAGATATTACACAGTCTTCTCTTAGGAATGGTTGCTAGGCTACGCAAGGTTTGTAGTATTCTGTCTGCTCCACTGGTAGCTGCTAGGCTCCATGGAAGCAGTGATAATGCTGAATCGGTTATTAACATCTTCCATAAATGTGTATATACTGTATAGCAGTGATGGCGAACCTTTTAGAGACCGAGTGCCCAAACTGCAACCCAAAACCCACTTATTTATCGCAAAATGCCAACACTGCAATAAAACCTGAATATCGAGGTTTTATTTTAGAAAAAACAACTCACAGCCAGTCCAAGCAAATATATATACACCGTATTTTTCGCTCTATAAGACGCACCTGACCATAAGATGCACCTAGTTTTTAGAGGAGGAAAACAAGAAAAAATATTCTGAATCAAATGGTTTACTAAACTATTTAATAAACTATAACAGAATACAGTAATACCGTATTTCAACCTTGTGAGCAACAGAGCTTCATAAATTCTGACTCTAGTGATGATGAGT